AAACTGAGCTTGAATCTGCTTTAATTATACCCGTCTGTAAATCCTTTCAGTCGTCAGAGCCTCGATTATGAGAACTCCTTAACAAGCACCCAGTTAACATCCGAGGTTTGATGTTCACGCCGTCCCGAGGTTAGCTTCAGGGGTTTTGGGCTTTAGGGTTTAGGGTTTGAGGCTTCTTGGATTTCCTGTTTTCTAAACCGTCAACCCGAAACCAGGTGTTAGGTTTTGTGTCGTTGGGCAGGCGAGTCCGATTTTGAGGTTTTCCGCTTGGCCGACAGCCCAGTCTCCTCGAAGTCTCCAAGGACGAGAAAGAGTTATTAATTAGAGTAGTTATAACTATAATATACTATACCCCCAAACCCTATTCTACATATCAAGGCTAATAACTGAAGAACACATATCATTCCTCGGGGTTCCCATCAAAGTTACGAAGGAAGCCTGTGGCACGTAAGACGTCTATGAGGTGCAAACAACCTCAGCTTCCTTGAACAGTGAAAGTCACAAGCTTACTCGCGGTGAGCCGCGGAACGTCGATTTTTACAAGGTACCCAAAGCATGACTGTAAGTGTTAAGACGCCTACGTTAAGATAAGTGCTGGGTCCCGAGTCCCAAGGTTAACTGTGGCCCTATGGCTGGCATTGTTACGCGACTTGCTGCGCCCCCTCCTAAACCCTAAACCCCCAAACCCCAAACCATTAAACTCGATATGCCTCGCCTGGATTTTCCGAGTGTGAGCGCCAAAACCCACAAACTTCAAGCGAGGTGACATCGACTGGGCCTTGGGAGCAGCGACTCGCTCGGAGTTGGGCCTTGGGTGGGGCTTTGGGCTGCTGCGGAGCTTGAGTATGGGGTTTAGTAGGGGTTTGGGGTTTAGGGGTTCAGGGGTTTAGGGGTTAGGGGTTTGTGGCTTTGGGCTTTTTCGGGGTTTAGGGTCCTTGCAAGTAAGCCTGCAGCAAAAGGGTTTTCTACAGGGGCTAGCTTCTGTATCTTTTTCTTGTGCAGGGGGCTCAGGGGGCTTAGGGCATTCAGGGTTCAAGGGTTTTAGGAAGCAGACCGCTTGGGAGTTCGTGGTTGAGTTCGTTCTCGCTCTAGCTCTAGCTCGACTCGGGGGATTACAAAGCCCTTGTAGAAGCCTTATGTAGCCCTGACAAAATGTCAAACCCGTATCAAAACCTGAAAGCTTTCTTGGGCTGTTCCATGCTTTGGCGACACTTGTTTCGGAACCCAAGAATTGCGTCAATACCACGATCATGGTAGCAGCAACGCTCGTAGCATTAGCGGCAGCAGCAGTTAGCAGAACGAGTCGCAGTAGTTGTCGTCGTAGACGTAAGACTGATTGCGCTGGTCAGTTAAATTTGCACGTAAACATGTCAATAAGAGCACTGCAAGACTAGAATTGCTTGTTGATGACAACCAGTTGGGTTGCTCCAACCAAGGCATTGGCCCACATGCTCAGCTCTCCGGTGGAAACGCAAGGCACGCTCGTGGTATTTCTTCACTGCTTGACACAGCCTGGACCCCCGTATCAGGGTTTCGGATTGGCCAAGCCACTGCCACCTCAAAGGTATGCTAGTACCAAGGCATCGAACAGGGTTTCCCGCTGTCGTCAGGCTTTTCCATGACGATGACGGTTGTCCTGACGCTTGTGGTGGCTTTGGCATTGCTCGCGGCAGCCTTCTCAATGGCTTTTTGGTTGCATGCTCGTCCGTTGTGACATGTTGTGACCCTAGAACAACTCCATCATGATCTGCGGTTTTCGAGGGTCATGATTGGATTCATCATTGAATATGTTGGTAGAACACTGCTCCGAGGTTTGCAGGCCAGCCGGAATGGCCAAAGGCTACGACTCCACGCCGACCCTCTTTGGCTCGAAAAGCACCGGGCTCGAATAAAGAAAGCTTTTGCAGTTTCTGTAGCAAGCTGAGCATCGGCTCGTGGCTTGCAGGCCTTGTGTTTCACCACCCCTGCACTACGTAGCTCCGGACGCGGAGATCTCTATAGCTTCGGCAACATAAGCCGGGCGGGTTCAGATGTAAATCCGACAAGGCAGTACCTGTACAGTTCGACGCTGTTTGACGCATGCATGCGGTCGTGTGAAACGGAGGGGGGGGGGGGCGGGGCGGACAAATAATTGGAAGGAGTACTTGCAGCGATATGTTTGGCAATTGCAGCTGACACATGCTGCATATGCTGCAGGGGCACTATCAGGTGGCACCCACGGCTTTTTCGATGCCGCTACGGGGCAAGAATTTGCATACTTCATTGAGCTCGGCGCCCCAGTGCAAGGTGTTAGGTGCAGATAGGAATCCAAGCAAGTCGTTTTACAGAGAGATTGGACATGGAGATTCGGCATGTTTTGATTCCGCAGATACCTTTTGGCTCTTCATTTAGGTGAAAGTGTTTCACGTGAAAAGCGTTTGGCACGATGGTGCGACGATTGATCCAAGGCGTGGGCATGCAGTTGCAATTAACAAAGCCCTTGCCAAGCTCACAGATTGTTGGTTCGTTGACCTTCGAACAACAAGCATCATCATGGGAAAAATTGCAAAAACAGTGCTACGGTTGGCATCGTTCCAGCAACAAAGAAATCATTGGCTTACACATTTCATGCCCTCACATTTGCAATTATACGCATTGGCATAGACAGAGCTCCTGAACCTTTAATCTTTCAAAGTTCTAAGTGAGTAAGTACATAGTAAGTACCAATGAAAGGATGATGGCTCATGAAACCTCACGGCTTTCCTCGAAACTGCGCATTGTCGGCCAGGTTTTTGCCTCGGATCCCTTTTGGCCACTGCAGGCAGATGTCGGGGAGCTCTTGCGGTGTTTAGGGTTCATTTGCTCCAGGATGCAAATACGTTGCGCTCGAGGTTCAATTAAGGTAGGGGGTTCAGTGGCTCCGGTTTGCGGATTCTGGAGTAGTTGAGGGTTTTGCGAGGGAGGGCTTAGGCACTTAGGCGGTGCAGGCGTTACTGTTTGAACAGTCAGGGCTGTTGAAGGTTGCAGGCTTGACTTGAGAACGGGATTTACCGTTCAGGCTAGGCTAGGGGTTGCAGGTTGGACGGTTTAAGTTTGTCAATCATGGTCGATTCCAGAAATATGCCTCTTTGCGAAGGGTTTGTCACGAGTTGCACTGTACGGCAGAGCCCAGATTCTTAAACAGTAGACGGATCACATTTCCCAGTTGCAGGTGCGGACCAAGTCCCAGAGTTGCTGGTGGAGGAAGCACAGCACGCATTTAAAGCACGTTGTATCGCATGGTAGAGGCAGCTCCAGTGACCAATGTTCGTACGGTCGTATGTACACATGCAGACACACGCGCACACACACACAATCAATATATGCGCATACACGTGCAAACATATGAGGTTCCGACGGAGCCGCTTGAGACGAGCTCCTACCGGAGCAGTGTTGATGCGGCATGTAACATGTAGCTAGAAACTGCAATCCCAGTAGGTCAGGCAGCTTCGGAAAGGTGTGGTGTGAGGGTTTTGGAGCTCCAAAATCGGAGGCAGGCCTTGCAGTGAAAGCCCGCAACTAAGGACAGCGAGTGTGCAGCCAACGAAGAATGCGCTTTGAGCCGAAGCAGCACCGATGGTATCCGCAACGATTGGGACTGGGTCCTTGCCATTGTTTTCTATAGGGCACAACATGTTCCTGCATGAAGTTACAAGGAATGCGCTGCAGCGACATGCGTTGCAAAAGAAAGCCCCGGTCGCGAAGATGTACGGTTGCTTGACTGGGTCCGAGTGGCGATGGGGTCAGCAGAGATCACCCGAAGTCAACTGAAGTGAAACATGCCACCGAAGCCACAAGTCTCCGTGGCAAGCGTATTGTTATGATTTAGTGAGAGAAGTTTTGCGCATCAGTTGAAAAAATGACATGGCAAATACATCTTCAGATCATCCATCCCCCACCCCCGAACCCAAAACCGAACTAAACCCAGAGCCTTTTTTATCAAGATCTTCCGATCAAAGGCCAATGCGGCGGAGCCAAGTGGAAGGCGGGCCGAAAGTGTTTCGTGCTTCGTCTTGAAAGTTTGAAAGATTGATTGCCCCGTGCCCATGCTAATCAGACTGCAGGTGCAAGTAGCAACGTGTTGGAAAACATGACTATAGCACCAAGCTCCAGTCGCTGTGGATCTCTTCCTGCTGCGCAGGGGCCAACCACTTGCGAAGATGGCAACTTGGCCAAAGTTCGCACATGCTCTCCATGAAAACGGATTGGGCTTAGTGTAGTTAGGGTCTACATAAGGGGGAATATGGACGTTTGCTGGCCTACTTTTTGTCCACCGTTATCACAAATCGCGCACTTCGGAAAACATAAGCTGCAAGCCTTGAATCGGGCTTATGTGTGTAATGGACATTGACAAAACGCTGGTCTTTTTCCCCAACAGGTTGACCTGTAACCCGAAGTTTTCGAGACAGGTTGACCGCGAGCTAAACCAATCAGCAAACCAGGTTGAAGCAACTCGGGCCGAGGGGCCTCTGTATAGATCGAAGTCACGTCGAGCTGAGATGACGGTTTTTATGGGGTGTCACCATATTAAGACTTTTGTCAGATGGATCTAACTTTTCAAGGTTTTGCAGACGGTTTCATGTTCGTTCCGTGGTTCATCACGGCTGAGAGTTGATTAGGGCATCCAAACTTATGTTGTTTGTTCTCGACAATCCTTTTGGAGGTTTGGGGTCAACTCCTGTCGACACCGAGGTTAGCCGTAATTTTGAAAATGAAAAGACATTCCTGGATGCTTCAAGCATGTCGAGTCTGATTTCACGCGGAACTCCCGTCCTCAAGCAGAAACCCCGTATTACTAGACCTTGAAATCACCGGTGAGATCCCAATGTTGGAAAAACACCACGTTCAACATTTTCCGCGCATCAACCCCTGAAGCTTGAACTTTGGACACAGCTTTAACCGCTTTGAGCCGGAAGTTTGAAGAACGCTAGATCCGAATCTCCAAAACCCCGAAGCTTCTTAGCCGAGGTGGCAAGTGTGTGATGAACAACGAGTGGTACTCGCAGTGCGAACCTGAGGCCAGTAAACTGCAATTCCCTACATCATGATAAGAGGGTATTGCGGAGGTGTTTTGTGAGCTTATGGTTTTCAAGCCTTTAGCCTAAAAGGCTTTATAGAGCTTTCGGTGAAGGGTTTCAGAGCTAGGGGCCGAGGGTTCAGTACGTGGGCAGCACTGTTCAGGGTTCAGGTAGAACAGGGTTTTGGGGCCCACTATACTATAGTAATAAGGAGCCCCAAAATGGTATAGGTAATTATTTTAAATAATGTATTTAGCCTCGGTTATCAGGGCATGACTTGCCCTGCATGAGTGAAGCCGCAGCTTTGGCTGGGACTGTTGTCGCAACTTGGGGAAGGGCGGCTCCTTTTGAGGTGTTGGTTGACAACAAGAGCCTTACTGCAGGTATGGAGTTTCAGAGAAAGTACGAGACTCCTAGGAAAGGTGCAAAAATGCAGAAGTAGTGTCGTTCTTGCAAAGCCCGAAAGGCAACCCCGAATATTATGAAACCAAAGAGACTGCTGAAGCACGGCAACGTGTACGTGAGTGTTTGAATGACAAAAGTTGTGTTCCTGAAAGTATAGAGGTATCCCGAGTATGATTTCAGGTACACCCCTGGGTCAAGGAACTTTGCAGAATCTTACAGGAAGCCTAGACAGCCATATCAAAATCATGATTTACAGCGGACGCCGTAACGCTAAATTTGGCCTTTTGGGTACAATTTTTTTCTTAACGAAGGCCCGTTCCTTCTCAGATGCCCAAGCTCTTCTCTGGGATCCTGATACAGTTTAGGGTTGTACCGTTCTAGGGTTTTTAGCTTTGAAGGTTTACACTTCATGGTCAGGGCCAGCTTCGGCATTAAGCCGCTAAGGGTTTCAGTGTGGGGTGTACCCATTTTAGGGTTCAAAGTTCAGGTTTGGCAATCAAGGCTGTCAACCCTAAACTCAGCACGAAGGTCCCATCTCCCGAAGGAAGCCTTGACCCGGAATTCCCAGAAACCCTTTGAGCCAGAACCACTTAAGTTCTGCCACGGGTTTCAGTTCCGAAGCCTAATGGAGAACCCGTCCCCAACTTTAGGCCAAAGTATCCAACAACACAACGTGCGGATGTGAAAAGTCAAGCCTGTACTTACTTCCGGAGAGTAATTTCTACTGGTGTTGATTGCAACCTTGGCCATTGAGGGCTTAGGTTTAGGAGTTCAAAACCTTAGATTACAACCAGATTTCAAAAGCCACAACCCTACGCAGGAACTAAAATAACTACTGCCCTACGCAGGAACTACAGCCCGAAAGCATGCAAATAGCTGAAGCTCTAAGCGACGAAAGCTTCCGAAGTCTTCACAAGATGAGCCTTGGAAGCTGGAAAGCCTCGGAGGGAGTTTGGAATCTTATTGTCGGTATTATTGCTATTGTAATGCTTATTGTTATTACCATGATGACACTAGAGCATGACTACGACCGCCCCTTCCGCGGTTTGAGGCTCCTTATGCTCCAGCAGCCCAGCTCTCAAAACCGGAAAACCCTCAACGGTAACCCCAACTCTTACACTGACCACCCAATAATAACCGACATGCGATCTCTGACCCGCTTACTATACCCCTTAAAGCAGCTTCGACTCTTCCTTCACCCCTCATCCTCAAAACCCTCCATTTCATCCCTTCTCTTAATATATCTATATATATATATGTATATTTATTTATTTACATTTATATTTATATTTATATTTATACTTACATATACATTTGTATACTTGTATACATATATATATATATATATACATTTATATATATATATATATATGTATGTATATATTAAGTCTTTTTCCCGGAGGCAGCAGCGGAAGCTCCAGCTCCCTCGCCCGGCGCGGTAGAGGTGGCCGAAACTCTCCGCTGGGCTCTCCTTAGGGGGGTTTAGGGTTTAGGGGTGATTTGGGGGTTTCCGAAAATAGGGGAGCCAAATATAGCACCCGAAATAGTAGGATCCTTATAATAAGGACCCCGAAACAAGGCACCCGCCATTTTCGGAAACTCCCATTTTGTATTCTTCAAGGCGTCCTTTCAAAGACTGTTGAACATGAGCCCAAGACTCAAGGAGGCTACAGGCAAACACTGAAGAGCAAAATGAAAGTCGTGCACTTTGGCCGGTCGTGCTCAGATGCAGCTCGACATCATCTCCGTCATCAATAGCACTATCACCAGCATCACGACCACCAAAAGAAATCACTGCCACCAACCATCACCACCATCAGCGTCCATCAACGCTAACACAAATCCAAAAACACACACACAGACATACACTTTTTGGCACACCTACCCACCCACCCACCCACCCACGCAAGCGTGCCAACGCCGCCGACGCTCCACCCCCACGCGCCCCCCACCCACCCACCCGCCAACTGCCGCTATGTCCTCGTCGTCGTCACGTTTCTTTGCTGAAGACAGTCCCTGTCACTGCAGGCCAAAGACGAGAAGCAGACGCAGCCGCCCCCGGAAAAGACCATGGATCCTTGGACGAACGGTTCGTTTACAGCATGTCAGTGCTTGTGTTTTGTTTTTGTCGTCGTTGTTGCTGCTGCTGTTGCTCCTGTCGCGGTTGCTTTGCTCTTATTGTTGCTACTGCTGCTGTTTCGGTTGCTGTTCCTATTGTTGCGCTTGCATCATTTGTTCACAGGTTTTGCTCAACGTACAAGATGACTCGCCTTTTTCGTTCGTTCTGGCCACCGGGTTTTAGTTATCGAAACAGCAATCGACTGCACCCACGGAGATCAATCAAGGATACATTTCACCCGAGTTCTTGGCTAATTGTTAAGTCCAGGCAGACTACTTCTTTTTGTTTCGCTGTGCTGCTGTTGTGTGGGGTTGCAGATTGCGGGCGTACACAGACCGAAGATGAGAATGATGGCGACGCCGTGATGACAGTGAAGCTCGATAGTCCAAGTCCTGAACATTTAATCCTAAAACCCAAGTCTAAACACCTAAACTGTAGACAACAAAAGCATCTCCTCGGCCTTCGAACCTGAAAAGCTTCATTTCCAGGGGCCACTGCCTTCACGGCCAAAGCAGCCCGTAACTTGTCTTTAGCTGGCCTTCTCACATGAGGGTCTATAAAGAAGCTTAAAGATTTCGAAGGGGCTTGCATGGTAAAAACTTATCATTGAATTAATTACTGTGTTTGTTGGCCTGCGGCTTTGCGCGAAGATCCCTGTTCCCGCAATGTCCCGAAACTGTTTGGTTTGGTGAGAATTTAGGAGCGAAAAGTGCGGAGTGGGTTAGCCACGGCTTAGGCTTTGGGCATCCAGGGTGTTTCGGGTTCGGGGGTTTGGGGCTGGAAATTTGGGCAAGACCAGGGTGTTTGTAATTGGGGTTCAGCATTTGTGGGGCCACATGTTTGCTATCATCCTTTGAGGGACTTGTGCTGTTGATGCAAGTTTCTTGTTTGGGAGCTCTGTCCGCTTCCCTCTCATGATGCATGTCCATGGCTTCATGCCCAAGCTAAAGTCGGCGTCGTGTGAAGGAGTTCCGGACTCATTTGTGTGCTAGAAGGCCGAAGGCAAGCTTTGTTTGAAGGATTTACTGCAGGTTTTACGGCTTTAACCTGCCATGACGCGTCGTTCGTTTCGGCGACCATTTTGTTGCGGATCTTGGCATTGGGGGGGCCTCACCCTGGTCCTGAAAGCGAGTCCAGGCACCAAAGACCTACGAGACTCTGAATCCCGTCATCGCCCGCGGGAACTTCCTGTATGACTCTGAAGCTCGGCTGGCAAGGGAGTTTAATGGGGAAGCTAGTTGGACACAGAAAGTCGGATCTGCATCAGATGCAGGGGTTTGCTGTAGGGTTTCTTCTTGGTGGTAGCCCGGCTTCCAGCGCTTCCCGAGGTCACTGGAGACCGGTTCTTCGCCAAGGGCGTGGCATACAACCCCAGAAACGAGCAGCTCGGCCGGAACTGCTTTTGGGGTGGGTGCCGGTGACACCAAACGCAAAGCCTTTCAGGGCCCGTTTGGCTCGCCAAACCTCTTCCTCCAACTCCCAAAGTGCCGAACACTCCAAAATCTGACCCCTTGCTATTGTAGACAGTGTTTCGGAATAAGGGTTTTAGACCTCGTGCTCCCAGGAAGTACGACCATTCTTTTGGCTCTTCCGTGCAGATCGCCGGCTGGGTGGACAAGTGTGTGCCCGGAGAACCCAAGGGAGGCCCCTGGGCTGGGAGCTGAGAGAGCCATGGCTTCTTTGGATTTTCGGTGGCGTCGCGTATCACGGTTGGGCCTACAGTTTCAGAGACGAAAGTGAGCGTTTGATATGGCTTCTTTCGGCGTGTCAATTCGCGGTTCCAGCTTCGCCTCCGGGCTTAAATGCGAACCTGCGGCAAAAGCGACATGAAACCTGGGGAAATGCATGCATCGGCCGGAGGGAGGGCTGTATATGCACATGGACACGCGACCTCAGTACCTAGCCAGGCAAGTGTATTCATCAGCCGGCACACCTTTGAAACAAACTCGATATTCCGTCTTCCTGACCCTGATTACTAACTAAGTCACAGAAAGCGCAAGCAGATGTGGGAGTGAGCCCGGTCTGGCTTTGGAAGGCTACTGGGGCTACACTGCAGATGTCGTGTCAGATGAGCGCGAGGCCGGATGCTGATGTTGCAGCAGTGTATTGTGTTCCCTTGAGTCCTAAAATTACAGCCCAAGATAAGAAGTGTCGGAAGCCTACATCTGGAACTGGATCCCTTGATCCTGCACCTCGAACCCGGAAACCTGAGCCCAAAAGCCCCAGCTGAGTTTGTCCAACCTTCGTGCAGGAATTCTGGACCGCAGATTTGGAAGCGAGCCCAAGCTTCATGCGCGAGGGTGGGGGTGGGGGCCAGACACTTTCACATCGATCAGCTTCACCTTTCGGTAACGTGGCGACGGAGCAGTACATGTGCAACAATTTGCATATACCAGCATACAAATCTGCACATATACATGTACGTACGGTTCTGCTTTGAGTTCGAGTTTGCTGCCTTTCATGCTCTGACAGGGGCATGTTCCAATCTGCGTTGGAAGGATTGGGGCGCGCATGCTTGCTGAGATTTCGGTTGCGTTTCTCGGGCACCCCGCCATCGTGCCTCAACTGCTGCATGAGGAAAAAATCATGTCGTAAGAACAGGAGGAAGAACAAGGAGGAAAAGAAGATGGGAAGGATAATATCAAGATTCAAGCTAGTGGCGGAAAACTCTTTACGATGCGAGAGTCATGAGACTGAGCTTGGCGCCTGAAGTCGAAAGCATGAACTCTTAAAACTTTATAAACCCCGAGCCACCAACCATAGTACCCCGGCCCCTAAAGTCCCCAACTCCATGCACCCTGCACCCTTCAGCTTTAACATCGAACACCGACAATCCTAAGAAAGCTAAAGTCGTCAACCGTAAACGGTACTTCAAGCAACGAAGACGAAGGCAAACTAACACAAAGAGGTGTGTTCCAAGTGGAGTTCCCGAGGATGGCCAACATGGGCGCCAACACGATCCGCTTGTACAACGAGTCGAAGCTGCAAATTCAAGGGCTTAGGAAGGGGCTTGACGGTTTCAGGGTTTAGGGTTCCCGGTTTTGGATCGAGGGCCAGATGCTGCTCGACGCTTCCTAATGCTCGTTGATGCCGACCTTCACGCAGCTCTGGCATGCTCTCCTGCAGCATGCTCAATCCCAGGAAGCTCAGAATTCGCTGCAATGTGCCGGCACACTTCAAGCTTGGTTTGTAAGGTTGTAGGGTCAGCATCTAGCATGATCCGTTATCTGAGTTGGATCCGCGCTTGAGCCACGCAAAGTTCATGAAGAAAGCAGCTTCCCTGGGCATCTACGCCTCTCAGCGGCAAGCTAGTGGATTCAAGCAGATGTTGGAACATGCGGGCTACTCAAAGTCCCGGGTATCTTGCTGAAGGGATCCGCTCCCAAGCAGCACAGGCTGGGACCTTTTAATGTCGGTTGCTAGCACATGTGTGCGAGTCAAGCACCCGAAACCCGAAAACCCCCCAGTAAGGCCCTATGCCCTAAACTTTAAACCCTACGATGCAGTTCTTTACCCGTCTTAGCTTTGAAACGTTCTAGGCGATCGTGCCCTTGACGGGAAAGGTGCCTCAGCTCGACCAGTTGAGGTGCTTTCCTTGAAGGTTCAGAGACAGCTTCAAGTGTGGTTCAAGGTTCAATAATATGGACTAATACTAGAATGTAACACAACCCTTTTCTAACTGCCAAGGCCGGCCCTCATATTATATGTTTGAGAACCGATGATCTGACTCTGAGATAATTGCAACTAGCAGTTATCAGTCCTGGCACTTGAACTTCAATGAGGATCAGAAATGGCCCAGATTCAGATGCAAGCGTCGGAGTGCACCATATAGATAAAACTCTGAGTCCGAAATATCCGTAAAGCCGCAAACCCCTCCACCTGAACCCTATGTGCTCAAACCCCATAGCCCTAAATCCGCAAATCCCTATTCATTTTGTCTTGCAGATATTTTCCTTCGGGTTTGTCATGCAGGAGCCAAAGAGTAGCAGCTTCCACTTACCGCAGTCACGGCCCAAAGCCTCGGTTGTGGAAGTAGTCGTCGTAGAAGTCGTCGTTCTGGACATAACGGTAGTAGTCGGTGCAGGACGAGGCGCAGGAGGCAGGAGTAGGACGAGTAGGAGCAGCAGCAGCAGCACCACCACCAGCAGCAGTTGCAGTTGTAGTTGGCACTTGGGTCTAGCTCTAGCTGCAGCTGTTGCTGCTTGTGTTGTTGTTGTCGTGGTCGTGGTGCTGATAGTGTGTCGTGGTGGCAGTGATGATGTCCTTGGTGGTTTCGTTGTCGTTACCGTTGTGGTGGTAGTTGTGGGTTGTTGGTTGTTGCTGGTTGGCTGATGGTGGTTGTATGCACATTGGGTTGTTTGTGGTTGGTGGTTGGTTTTGGTTGGTATTTGGTTGTGGTTGGTGCGGCTGTTGTTGCTGTTGCTGCTACTGTAGTTGATGAAGTTATTGATATTGTTCTTGTTCATGGTGTTGTTGCTGCTGCAAGCCTCTCGGCTCAGGAAAGGTCAGGCTAGTACAGTTGCCTTTTTCCTTTCTTGCCATGGCATTTGTCAGCGCCTGAGCAGTCCCGGTCCCAAGTCCGGGAGGGAGTATTAGATCTACAGCTCTCTAACATCTCCCAGAGGTGAGGGTTGTCGGTATTGCGAAGCCGACAGGAGCCGTACTCAACATGAGTGCTGCGAAACAGCCTAGTGGTTCGACCAAGCATCAGCCCGTTCCTAAAGGGAAGGGTAAACGCTCTTATCAAAGGGCAGCACGTAAAGCTCTGCTTGAAGGTAGTGCGGTCTACAAGGGAAGGACGATGTCGTCAACAGAGCTTGGAGTTGCTCCGGCACATGTAAAGCCCACCAATCCCGGCAGAAGGACTCGGCCTTCAAAATTTACAGAAGATAAGAATCTCAGCTATCTATCCTGGAACGCAGGATCTCTCACAACAGCAGTTTGGGAAGAGTTACTCTCCGTACTGCAAAGTGCAGCATTTCAGGATGTGAAGCTGGTAGCAATTCAGGAAACACACTGGAGGGGCTCATGGCAATTCAGCAAGTCAGGTTGGCACGTGATCAGCTCTGGCTCCACAGGGGAGAAGGGAGCCGGGGTCCTCATAATGGTGCACTCCACGCTGTGCAAGTCACAGGATCTTCGCTACAACGAGGTTGTTCCAGGAAGAGTTCTCCAGGTCCGGGTGCCGAGCAACGGCATCTCACTGGACGTCTTCAGCTGCTATCAATACGTTTGGCGCTCTAAGGAGACAGTCGCTCAGAATAAGGAAACCCGGAAGCAGACCCTTCACGCCCTAAGTAAGTCCATCCGAGCTGTTCCCAATCGCAACACTCTCCTTGTGCTAGGAGATTTTAACTCCTCGCTCAAGACCGACAACAAACACGTAGGGCCATGCACGATCCAGGCTTGCAGACTAGGGCATCGCGGATCTAAGGATCTCCAGACCCTACTGTCGGAGCACCAGCTAGTCGCAACCAACACTTGGGGAGTGCATAGACCAGCCACCCACGAACAAGGCAACTCTGTTTCACAGATTGACTTCTCGTTTGTCAGGATTGCACAGTCCCAAGGCCCTGCCAGGTTTTGCCGGCCACTAAGGACCTTCCCAGTGGCATCCTGGAGGGATGGTAGTAGGCATTTCCCCCTTCTTGGTAAATTGAGGCACAGCAGGAGATACTCCGCCCAAGCCTCAAAACCCTATGACCAGCAGGCAATGGAGGACTGCTACAGACACCGTTCCCCGAAAATACAGGCATTTGCCAGGGGGGTAGACTCCCTCCTTCAGGATCATCCCCAAACCTGGCAGAGTCTCCATCAAGCAATGAACTCAGCCCTCGCGACTCACTTTCCCAAGAGAAAGGGAGCAGCACAAAGAACAGATCTCAGCATTTGGGCAGAGCGCACAGTGTTGCGCTCACTCCCAATGTCAGTCAAGGTCTTAGCAGAGTTCTTGCCGGAGTTGCAGGTCCGAATGGTATTTCGCTGCTGGCTGTCGCTGTCTCAGCAAAGTGCACAGGCTAGGGTAGCCAAGCGTCAGAAGCAGGACAGGCGACGACAGGAAATAGATGAACAACTTGAGCAGGCAGAGCTTAAATCCAAGCAAGACGGGAGTCATTCCCTCTACAAGGTGATCAAGCGCTTCCGGTCGGGGAGGCCTCAGGAAAGAGTTCAGCTACGTGACTCAGAGGGTCGCTTCCTAACAGCCAAGGAAGAACGTAGACAATTAGAGGAATACTCCATTGAACTGTTTGGAGCAGGGGACGACTTCCCGCTCACAGGGATACAAGGCAGCCTGCACATCACCGAGCAAGAAGTTCAAGAACAGCTAGGCACTATAAAGCTTGGCAAAGCAGTTCCTAAAGAAAGTCCTCCCATAGTAGCTTGGCGCTCCCTAGGCCCCAACGCTATTCGGCTTATCTCGGACACTCTCAATAGGGAGGTCACTGCAGGAAGGCTTTCGGACAGCGTCACCTCGTCACAGATCTCTTGGCTCCCAAAGCCCCCCAAGAAGCCAGATAAGCCAACATCACTCCGTCCGATCGGGGTGATAGCACCTGAGGGCAAGGTCCTGGCAGGACTTGTGAGGCAGAGACTCAAGTCCACCCTCCATCAAGCAATGCAAGGAGTCTCTCAGTTTGGCTTCGTACCAGGTAGGGGCACAGAGGAGGCGATCTGTAAGGCCCTCACACATGTGGATCAGGCCAGGTTCAGGCAGGCCCTTACAACTAGAGCGGCTGGTAAGGGACAACAGGGGCTTAAGCTCAGGGGCAGTCTCACGATGAGCGTTGACATGAGCAAAGCTTTTGACACTGTGGACAGGCTACGATTAAGAGAAGCCCTGGAAGCTGAACAAGCAGACCCTCTTCTTATAGAGGTGGTGGGCCATCTCCACATCAAAGCCTTGTACAAGATGACAGCCAGCGATCAGAGCTTTGAGATAGCCACACGCAGGGGAATCAAGCAGGGATGCAAGCTTGCACCTTCCCTATTCGCCTTTGCATCCGGGCTTCTCTTTAGGAAGCTCTCTGGAAAAATCAGCCCCCCCGAACTAGTTAAACTTCTCACCATGTATGCGGATGACAGCTTGATTCAGTCGCATTTCGAGTCTGAGTCTGGCCTCATTACAGCACTAGGGTACTGCGACCTTCTTCTGGATCAATTGGTTGAACTTGGGTTCAAGGTCAATCCGTCCAAGTCAGCAATACTGCTGCAGCTACAAGGAGGTTCAGCCTCGACAATTAGGAAAAAGCTATTTCGCCAGGTAGATGGAGAGAAGTTTGTGGAACTCCCTTCGGGCAAGTTGATATCGCTGCGGTACCAGGTCCCATACCTGGGGGTCATTCTTTCTTATCATGACTATGAAATGAAGACCCTTAAACATCGGCTGTCATCCAGTAAGCTAGCAATGTCAGAAGTCGCCCATGCAGTTAGGAACCATCGAGTCCTATCAGACAGACGTCGTCTGTCAATTTGGACAATAACTGCGTGGGCCTCTGCTCTGTATGCCCTTCACGTGGTAGGACTGACACAGCAGGGATTGCAGAAGCTCCATTCACACATGATGTACCAACTTCGGTTTGTCCTGCGGAGCTACTCCCAGGAAACGAAGGAATCCAACCAGGAGTTACTCCGGAGAGTACGGATTCCTCACGTGAAGGAGCAGCTGCAAAAGAGGCTTACACAGTTCATTAAGAGACAGCAACACTCAGATCCTCAGCTCCTCCCACACTACAAGCTGCGCGCTGAGGCAATCAGCCAGGCTCTGGAAGGCCTTGCCATTGACTTCTCCTCGCAATCAGTAGAGGATAAGATCCTGACCTGCGGCGAGTGTGGAGCATGTCTCTCTGGTACCGGGGCACTCCGTCGCCACCTGCAGAAGGCCCACCCAGATTCGCAGCAAAGCTTGAAAGGACCCAGATTTGACCCTATTTTGCATTCAATGCCAGGGTCAGCAACTTGCATCGCCTGTAGAGCAACATTCCGAACAGTGTTCTCTCTGCGCAAACACGTCGAAGCTTCTACATGTCCTCGGGTAGAGCTCTTGCTTCGACAGCAGGAAGAGCTCCCTCTAGAAGCCCAGAACCGGATTTCACTTACAGAAAGTCTACAGTCTGATGCTCAGGAAAATCCGGAAGGAGCAGCTCGAAATCCGGTGTTCCATGATTACCTGATGGAGCACTGTGCACTCTGCGGTCAGGTCCTTGTTGGTCAGAAAGGAGCCAAACAGCACCTAAACAAGCAGCATCCTGAAGTGATGGCCAAGCTTGAGAAAACTCTCCAACCAAGACTTGCTCAGTTCAAGGTCTTCTTTCACAAAGGAGATAGCTGTCGCTATTGCAAACTCCGTGTGGATGCCCCGGGTAGACATGCTCAGCAGTGCGTTCCACTACTGCAGGTGCACGTACTGCAGGAGGTAGCGCGTCAGCAGCTCAGTAAGCAGCCCCGAGAATATACTCGAGCAAGGCCCACGACCTCGGCGAAGACAGCCACAAAGAAGCCCACAGATTCAATGCCAGGTATTCCCCTTCCCGAATTTAGACTGGAAGGCTTTCTCCTGCTAGCC